TACCAGACAGATGTGTATCACTTACATTTGCTACACCCAGCTGAGCAATCTGGTACACTGAGGCAGGAGGATCGTGCTTATCATCCAACCTGAGTTAAATCAAGCAGCAGGAGTGTTGCCCTGATTTTTTAAGATTTTCTAAGCCTTCTGATGTTTGCATTCTTGTATCAAACTTTCTCACACACTTCCTGTAAACAACTTATTGTTTTGCATTCTTTTATGGAGGAGAAACTTGATGGACTGTTGGTTTGTCCAGTGTCATTGGAGAGGTGGCACTTTCACCCTCCAATCCACTATCACCTTTGAAAATCTACAAATGTTGGAGTCAGAAAATAAACTTCCCTTTTTTCTGCCTTGAGAGCAACAGCGTGTCTACGTCGTGTTGTCTCGTGTCCTATAGTGACACCAGGAGAGCACATGAAACACTAACAGTGTCTCTGTAGCCATATAAAGTTACTAGAAATACCATTTGGTCAACATTTATATAGATATTTAAATGAAAGATGCATGATGCTAAAGGATGTGGAACTATCTTTCACCATGGGGAAAAATTAAAAATAAATAATGTGCACACATTTTTAAAGTTCTGAGTGCCTCTGCTTTCCTTATTCATGTTGTACAAGGCATAAAAAACACTCACACAAAAGATGCTGGCAAAGAACTCGAACTTTCACCTTAACAAAACATATCAAATAGAAAGGAAGATCTATCTCCACATAGACTAATGAAACAAAAATTGAGTTAAAAGGTTAATGCTAGCTATAGCATTTTGTGCCAACCCCCCCCCATGCCACAACCATGTTTCCACAATAAGACCAGGAAATAACTGAGTGTTTGTATCTACATATTGTATACAGCTACATTAACACAATGACACGGATGATTTTGTTGGAAATACCTTCATAAAGCCTTGCTACTTGTATCTTACGGTATTCACTTGGCCCATAAAACCCTGACATTTTTAGAGCAGTCACCACAAACTTTGCTTCTAAATTTCTGGCAGTAATACATAAAAAGAAGGTGGTTTTGATTATCAGCAATTTGAATGGAAATGTGAAACTAGAAGCATTGTACCTTCTAAATTCCTTATGTCAATATTATGTCCACTACCTTTCATTTAATTTCTTTTGCAGTGTTACTGTACTGAGTTTCTTTGGCTCATTTGTAAAAACTGATGTGAATGACTGGACAGCAGTTTAAGGAAATTACCCCACACCATGCAAGGAGCTCTTGCTCAATTTAATTTTTAAAGGGAAAAATGAAATCAAAGTAAGACTCAATTCCCTTGGAAACATAAGGAAAGCTGCTGGGATATTACATCTCTAGGCCAAAGGAGTTGTTTCTGTGGTGGATATAGCAACAGCAACTTGGCCGATTATCCCTGCAACAGTTTCATGATACAAATCCAATTTAATGCAGATTGTTCACTCATATTTACTAAGACAAGTGTTTTCAGTCTATTAGTTTTGATTAAACAAATCTGTTTTCAAGAACTGCTTAGAAACCTACTGAATTCTTCCATCAAAAGGACAGCACAATCTCTTTTCTTGTTTTCAATATGTGAAGATTTCCTTGCACTAAAATGTTTCTTCTAAGTTGTAGCATGCCTGGTTTTCCCCAGTGAGACAAACACTTCTCCTCACTCCAGGAAAAACCAATACAAAATTAGCTGAACAAATGCAAAATTATTGTATGAACACAGAAGGAAAGATGTATCTGTATCAGTGTGTGATACATATATACATATATATATACATATACATTAACATATATATATATATCCACACACACATATGTATGTATATATAAAAAATACAAGTACCATTTAACTTAAATTAATAGGAAAAAGTTTTAAATAACAGGTTTAAATAACTGAAACAGTTCTACAATGCAGCATTCAAATATACAATTTGAAAGTATAAATTAAAAAATTCAATGCGGAGGGTGTAAAATTTGGGAAATTTTAAGAAAGAACTGAAGTCACCAGCTTATAATTTTGAGGAAAAGCATTGCTACTGTTTTTTTGTTTTTTTTTTTGTGATGAACACAAAGGGTACTTCAACTTGTCAGCTCTTCCTTTGCTTCAATGCAAGGTCCGCCTGTAGCAGGGAAACAAAACCTAGTTTGTGGGCTCAAAATTACCAGCTGATCAAAGCTCACAATGTAACACTGAGAATACAAAATTTCTTCTGCCCTGAATAAATTTGCATAATTGACAGAATTTAGATTGGCTCAATTACACAAACAGACATGTACTCTTCTGACGCACTTCATCACTCAGCTTCATACTAACAGTGATGGAATAAAAATGTATGTGTCCAAAATTAACTGTGACTGTAATTGTGTACTAACATTTCCTTCAGACAGAATTTTAACCCCTTCTCTCTTTTTCTGGAACTTCATTTCCATTAGCAGAAGAAATGTTCTTCTCATAATAAGTCAGTATCAGTGGCCTGTTATAAAAATTACTTTGGTTTAATTCAAACTTAGCATCATTTTCCTTGGGGCATGGGATCAGTTATGAATAATTCACTTACCAGTACCTTATTAAGCGCACATGATATAATATATACTACACTGTAGTAAAAAATGATACCAACAATCGGGTGAAAATACAGATTAGATTTTAAAGTCGAATACAAAGCTATAGAAAACATGTTCACTCATTCTGTTAAGGCCACTAGGCAATTAGGAGAAATTTTATCTTCTCTCTCCAGGGACTGGGGAGGAGAAACATTTTTCTTTAACTTGGGCTATTAGTACCTATTTTTTACAGCAGAAATCCATCAGAGCAAGAAAAAAAAGCAGCAAGTTCTAACAAAGTAAGTCACAAAACCCCAACACTTAGTTCAATTTTTTAAGTTCAACTTGAAAATAAATGGAAAATTTTTAGATTGGCGTATTAAAAGAATCACTGAAAAACCTAATATTTTAGTGATATGTATCATACATTGTGCACATCATTAGCTTGACTTTGCAAGCCATGTTTTGTGCAATTCACATGCTTCTTGTATTTTACCCATCTTACCCATTACAGTAATGCATGCAGTAAAGCACAAAGTCATTATATTTTTGGTATCTTGGATTTATTTTTGTTATGGTTTTGTTAGACATGGCATTGATGCATAGTTGGAAACATCAGTGAATTTGAAATGCACATGAAATACTGGTAAGGAATTGTTGGGCAATTCACCTGCAGCAGGCAGGTGTTGGGAGAGGAGGTGTACCAGGATGCTCTGCCTGGATGGCAGTAAAACAGCTGGAATAATGCCCTGTTTGCAAAGCTATCAGTGGTGAATGGAGGAGGGAGTTGTCCTGGTGCTTTTGGTGCTGAATAATGCTGAAACCAGCCTGACTCATCAATCCCAGAGTTAAACATACCTGGCAGAAAGGAGAACTGTGGCAGATCTGGTTAAGTACCAGATAAAGCAACAAACAAGTGGTACTGCTACTACTACAAACTTATCTAAAGATGCTGAACTGACACAGCTGGCCTGGAAACAAAGGGCCCACACCCACTTATTAGGGTCTTCCAACAACCCCTTTCTGGAGATTCCTTCCTTGAGCTGGGATTTGCTTCAATGAAAGAAAATCCCGGGAAGTTGAGAGAAAGAGATTTGCCCACAATCATTGGTATGGGTGAGTAAAATCAATATTTACTTAATAATTCCTTTTGCTATCTTTAATATAATTACTTCAATATTGCTTCAAAAACAGTGGACTGGATTAGACTAGTAGTTATAGCTACCTATACTGTGTAGTAAATAATTATAACTAAGATCTTTTAGTCTCATCATTATCATAGTAAGTTATTACCCTAATAATAACCCTAATTTATTTTTATATTAGTACCTCTGGTTTGTCATAATCCTTTGGGGCAAAAAGGTTCAATAATGCCCATTTAATCCATTAGCATAAACCACTGAGAGGGTCCGGGGCTAAGGCAGGATCCAGCTGCACCCAGAGGTCTCGATGAGGAGTTTAAAAAGCAAGAGGGTCCTCTCTGTGCCTTGTGACTCAACGTGGCGGGCTCCTCTGTAATCTCTGTATCTCCCACTCTGCCCACGACACACAGGCTGAAACAAACACCTAACTTCCCCTCTGTACCCTACCCTGGCTACCCACAAATTACAGCAGTGCCTGCCACCTATCAGGTTACCTCGAAAAGCTGCCAATGGCCTCAGTGAAAGCTGCCTAAATGTCAGGCCGAGGTGTGAGACTGCCATTCTGTCTGGAGGGAGAGAAGTCATGGTACAAAATACTTGCTACTTTCCTTAATATGTGTCTGAGTGGAACTCACCTACTGCTGTGGTAGAATTGGTGTAAGAACACAGCCAGAAAAAATAGTGTTTCGAAATACAGCTCATAGTTACTGAGAAAGCTCACACAGAAGTATCTAGACATAAAGAGAATTAAAATGCGTAGTTCTAAACTACTGAATATGTACCCATTAGCTGGTCCTTAAACATAGCTAGAACAGTACAGTACTGATCTTAAGGACTGTGGGTAGATATACAGTTACCAGAAATGCTACAGCTCCAGTCTGAAAGTGAGAAAGTGTAATTCTACACTTGTTCCTATATACATTTCCCTTTGCAAAAAATCTGGATAAAGCACAAAATTATACAAATTTTATACCATGAAACAAGAATACAGAAAATTTCCTACATGGGCTTCAGTGTTCACCCCTTGCACAAAATTTATTCATTACTGGCATTTCAGAGACTGTAGATTAAAATACAGGATAGGAGTAAATGAATGAGCAATGCTCCTCTAGTAAACCATCATGCCTTTGGATGAAAACCAGTTTTGATCTGAAGCTCTAAAGCAAGACATTTATGCTGTTTCTGCAAAACTATTAAAAGGACAGAAATCCACAGCATGAGGATAACCCTCTAAGGAATGTTTTGCTCTTCCAATCTTCTTTCCAACAAATAAACCTTTTATTCATTTTATAATAAAGGCTAGACAGGCCCACTGTACTATCAGGCAAGTTTGCATTGGCATACATTTCTAATATAAAGAACAGGCAGAACAGGGACTATTCTTTTGGTGCAAAGACACACTTTAAAGAGGTGCAACACTTTCCACGATTAGCGTAGAGTGCTGCAAAGAGCCGTAAGGATTCTGCAGCCACAGAAAGTTTCTGGTATTCATTATCACAGACATTCCATTTAATAATTTTTTTAAAACTTTATTCTAATATACATTTAATAATGTAAATGTACACATCAGGTAAACCCTTACCCCCCCTTGGTAACCTAAGTTAAACACATGCTACCTTATACATGCAGTTCCATAAAAATTATCCCCTTTGACAGCTATTCATCACAAGCTGGAGTAGTTAAGGCCCCATCTCTTTAATGGGCAGTGAATAAAGAATTTAAAAATTATTAAAAGACATTCTCAGCTTGTACATCATAAGCTACACAAGTCTAGACAGTCTTGTCTAGTTAGACAAGACTAGACAACTTTTAATTTGGGACTCTTTCTGAGAGATGTCTATAAATGAAAACTGAATAGTCCATAGTGCAAATTACTATCTCATAAACTGCAGCATAATAACACTTTTCCTTATGGATCTTCTTTATGAGGAAATTTATATTTCTGTATAATAATAATAATAGTAATAATAATAATAATAATAATGCATTTTATTTTACACTTACGAGGATGATATTGCACTTAATGGAAAATGCTTTACTGAGTAGCAATGACTTTAAGCAAACCTGTGTTATAAGCAATTTTTATTTTCTTGTGTCTCCCTGAATCTTCACATGATTCTTAAATATTTACTAAAATTCCTTGGTTCCAAATTAAACAGTATTCGTAATTAGTGTATTTTAAAAAATTAAACAATTTGGCCAGCACACCATAATACTATAACCAAACTGTCTACTCTTTTCTAATTTTGAGCCTAGTAATTATCTGCAAATTTAGTACCAAGCAACTACAGGGGGATATAGAATTTAGCAAAACACTCTGTGATTACAGGTTCAGAGAGGTGTGGATAGACAGTGTGAAATACAGGTGGCATTTCTTTTAAAATCGTTGAATGCAAAAATCCAGCAGGACTCCTAACTTAATAATAAATTGGAAAGACTAACGGAGGAATTTTTTTTTAATTGCCATGCAATATTAAATCCTCAATAATACCTAGCATTTATACAGAACTTCACATTTTTGAAGTGCTATACAAATACTGTCAGGACTAAATGTATTCTCCAGATGCAGAATACAAATCCAAAGTGAATGGTGATCAAGTGAATGGCACCATAACAGTAAAATTTATTATAATTACTACAGAGACGAACTAAGTACTTTATAATCAACTCGCTATGCATGAACTATCATGGAAGACCACACACTGTACAAGGGAAATGTACAGATATAAAATTATTATCATTGATGAAATAGGTTCTATGACCACAAGGAATTGCCACAAGAGCTGTAATTGGCTCCACAACCTTAAAATGCCTAATTCACAAGGTGTAGGAAACACAAGGAAACCTTTCAGTGACAGACAGGCAAGTTATTTCAAGTGCTAGCACAAACAACCTTTAAAAGCCATTATTCCTATACATCAATGCGGATTCCATGTTTTATGGACATTAATTCTCTAGTGCCTGTTAAATACATAATAAATGAACATAGATGAGGTAAAGATGCTGTAATTGCCACATACAGCCAATACGGCAAGGGAGGAGTTTTTCCAAACGGGCAGATCCAGAGGCCATGACGAATCCCATCACGGACATGATGAGAAGTCCAGGATATGAACAACATCCACGGAAGAAAGCACCATGAGTCCTTAAGCCTGAAAAGCTGCATGATAAACTTTAATGTCAGAGCCACCACAGGAATCACAGTAGAACAATGAAGAAGTGGTCTCCGTGGAAGAGTCAGAGCAGCCTGCAGAAGAGAAAAATATTACTGCCAATGCCTGCAACTGTGACTAGGGAAGAAAAATTTCATGAATGTTTACAGGTGCACTGTCAGGTGACTAAGTGGAAGCAGAAAGAAAAACATACTGTTCCTTTCCATTGCAATTAATATAAAGCTAATTTTCTGCATGAGAGTTGTGTGCTCCCTGTCTCTACTGTATGATATGAATCATGCATCCTACTAAGTACTATCATCAGCAAAACAGGGAGGGAGAGGGATGAGGAATTCTATTTGTCACATAGTCAGGTGGAACACGGGAACTTGTATAATCTGTTGCACTGATTATATGTATTTAACTTCAAGACAATTAAAAGGAAAACAACCATGCAATACACTTGACATATTTAGTATGTTTTACTTGAAATAAATCATGTGCTTCAATGGCATTTAGTCCCAAAAATACATCCTCTATTTTACTACAGCTGTCACCTGTAAAATTGGTTTAGTTGCACAGTGTTTAAAACACAAAAATAATTTTCAATAGGACAAGGATATGAGCAAAGTTACACACATTTTGATCACCTTGAGACAGTATTCTTCATGGACAGGCAAAACTTCATTCATAAACGAAATCTGAAACATTTGTGACTGGGTTTTTGTATGAACAACTTGTTTAACAGTAACTCAGTTGAAAGCCTGATATTTGGTTTTAATAAGGTGAGTGTCTAGCTAGTGTGATTACATTTAGCCATTTTAAGAAGAGATAATGTCAATTTAATATACATGTTTGAGAAGATATTCTGTGGGTGTACAGTGTGGACAGTAGCAACAGCTACAACCATCACTCCAAATTCAAACACAATAAAAAACTAATAATGGTATTTTGGATTACTATTTGGATTACTGTACTAATAAGTAGATTCTTGTGTCTGTAAGCACAGGAGAAACAACAGTACACTACCAGAAGGTCTAACAGAAGTGTTGATGATATTCATTGGCTCAATTCAGTTACTGGGGAACACTTGGAAAACCTGTAACAAGGCTCCAGAGATGTAAGGTGACAGTGTATCTTTGCTGTGCTGAACACATCCCTCACTGCACCTAGTGCAGAAGGCAAACAAAGCACCTCTAACCTGTTCATTCTTCACTTGTTTTAATCCTTGCAGGATTCAACAGCTAGAGGGCCTGGCAGTGGGACTCTGGAATAGGTTAATCAAGCTCAGGCATAATTTAGATAACTGCATGGAACACTATCTTCTCTGCAAGGAAACTCTGATGTAGCCTTAGCCAGTTTATTAACTGATTACAGATGGGAAGATAAGGACTACCTTGAAATACAACAGCTCATGCTTTAAACCACAGCCAACCTTAAAAGGCCAGCAGAAAGCTTTGCTCTATTAGCTTCCCACAACATGCTTGTCCATGACTCCTAATCAAGTAGTGGGATTTAAAAGCTCACAAACTGTCTCAACAATTTTTAACTCTAATGTTGTGGACCCAATTCCTTTAAGTTGGAGCAAAAGCTGTATTTTCTTCAGCTTCAGTTCTGTTCCACACAAGCAGATTGTTCATGGGTTAAGGTAGAAAAATGTTGTGATGGTGATATTGTTTATCACCTGCCTTACAACGAGTCCAATTTTTGCTACTGTCAACAATAAGCTTAAAAGTACATCCTAAATTAATTCTGAAAAAACCTGAATATTGGTATGTTTTGGCAGATAATCTGTTGACTGGCCTCTATTTCTGCACTTTGAAAAAAACAGTAGTAAAGTCTAAATTAGTCTTTTCCCTCTGGCCTATTAAGGTTAGGTGCCAACAGCAACACAGCCAGTAAGGAAAATTTTAATATTACTCATGTACACAGTTTATCACTACTGGTGCCAAGGTAATGCATAAATTCTTTTCATATAAATTTCAGACACCAGGGCTGTGTTTGATTTCAGCAAGAGAAAGTCGTCTTCTGTAACTGCAGCCATCAAACTTCTCATATGCTGCTGCCCAAGGTCTGAGAGAACATCTGTTTCCTCCTTTACATTCTGCGACTAAAGGGACACTTACATCCTTGAGTTGCCAAGCCCTGGAAACAGACAGGTAGTTCAGTTTGCTATTATAAGCTGCTATACTCTCTTTCTCCTAAAAGGCAAACATGTTTGCCTTTAGAAAGCACCAGATCTTAAAAAAACCCCAAAAACCCAAAACCCAAAAAAACAACTAACAAAACAAACCAAAAAAAAAACCCCAAAAACACCCCAACCAAAACACCACTGCAAAACACCAAAAATCCAAGTCTTTTCTGCCTTAAACCTCCTGGAAAAAGTTGTGAACAGATTTTATTTACAAATTACCTTCTCCATTTGCCTATATATGCAATCAGATGCAAGATCATCTGGCAGCTGATGCTCTCCTCCAGCCTCTCTCACTACAATGAGCAGCCAGAGACAGCATACAATAATTGCATGCAGGAGAACCCACGCCAATTATTTGCTTTAATGCTCATGGTAACACCATGGATGTTATGTAATAACAGATGCTCCCTCACTGATATTCTGTGGTGCTTCACAAGCCTGAAATCTTTAGATCATAGTAACATATTCAATGTAACATATAGAAGTAATATTAAAAAAACAGTCACACATTCAATGCTACACCAACTGTGCTTGTGCAAAGCTTATTTTCTAGTTCCAGAAATGCTCCTGTACAGCCCAGGTCAGTCACGGGCGGCACATTTCCCAGCAGTGCCAGCGTTATATATGTTTGCCACCAACTGCATGGTCTACACTTTTAGAATTTGGTGACTCTTTAGCACCAAGGCAGCAATTTCTCCATGTCTGCTCTGCAACAAGAGTGTCTGGGCTACAATCCTGGTGAAGTCTGGGAGCAGTTCATCATGTCATACCAGCACTCCTGACTGACAACCGGCTGCAGGAACTACTACCTTTGGAGTACTCAGCGAGACAGCTTCTTCTATACTCGTGTGCACAGTAAAAACCACATGGAGCACAAAGAACTACAAATTCCAAGTAGCAGAGTCATTGTAGACTTCATACTCATTGCAAAAATAATGTGGGCAAAAGGTCAGATCACATGGTACTTGGTACACAAGTATTTATCAGAGCAAACATACAAATACCACAGGTGACTATTTACCCTGAATACTGCAGAAAAATAATGATGACCATGGAAAACAGACCAATGGCCAAACAATCCAAGCGCTGAGTGGCGTCAGCAGGAACAGAAGCAGGTGCCAAGAGTAGTGTGAAGGTAGCAATTGGAGGTAGAAGACAGTACCGCCTTGTGCTGCACAGAAAGGTTACTCCACAGAAAATAACTCGTCATCAGATTTAAAAGTGGTGATAATGAGCTTTATAGGTGATTGTGTACAGTAACGTGAAATATACTATTGGTACAAATTAGTAATAGTGGTGTGGTTGGTTAATTAGACTTATTAATTTATTAGTTATTTAGTAATGTGTTGCAAAACAGTGAACATGTTAGTCTCTTAAAGCAGTTACTCTCAACCATGCAATTTAAAGACAAAGAATGGGACTGTAACTACCAAATATATAGTAAAAAAGTATCCCATGAAGTAATAAATTATGTAAGTGACAGCCTGAAATTATGCCAAGAAACTGACAGGCACATCATATAAACCCAAGGAAAGAAAAATTATATATTGCAATCAAATCTAGCTGGCCAGACAGCACACAGAAGAAAAGTTTATGGGGATTATGTTACATCACAAACCAAAGGGACTCTGATGGCACTGTAGGAAGAGAAAACATGTAAGAGATTATTATTCTTTTTTTAAAGTACAGAAGCATTGTACTTTTCTGCCATTGAAAGGAATTGAACTACAGTATTTGGCTCAAATGAAGTCTCATTTGAGCCAAATACTACTCACGGGTTTGAACAGGACCCTTTAGAGGTAATTTAGGCAAAAAAGCAATACAGAGGAGATGAGAAAAACAGTATGAGGTTTAGGAAATATAAATTTATTTCCTGAAGATTTTTTTTAAAATGTTAGTTGAGACGAGAGTCTTTGCAAAACATAGAGGCTTTGCAAATTATAATGATGGTTTTGCTCTAAGAGTCAAGAGACCTACACTGGATTATTTCCTTTATTAGCCCAGTTAACGTACAGAAAGCAAAGGCGTTGGTAGGCAAATCACTTGAAAAAGCCTTTGGGCATATTATCTTCTTACCTCAGCTAAATACATTTGGCTACTAAAAGGGCTATGATTCTACCTGCAATGTTCTGTGTTTATGATTTGAAAAACATTCTGGGGGAGAGCACAGAAATCAGGTGTCTTTTGCAAAAAAAAAAAACAAAACACAAACTTAAAGAACAAGAGAACTAGATCTGCCATCAACAATTAGATAATGGACTGCTATCTGCTTGGGAACTGAAACAACACAGGAAGAAATTAAGTCACAAAATTACAAAAATTTCCTTCGTTTCACATAGTAGGGATAGGCTAGGCTGCACAAACATTCCCCATCAAGGAAGGTGTAAGTATATTTAACCTTGCCTCACTACCAAGTGGCAGGTCACCTCCCAATTCCATATCACAATTCAACAGTCAACTTCTCAAACTGACATCGGTGAAGTGTGACATCTAGTGGTCATAATTAAGGAAAATACTAGTAATCTCAAATGCATGAAAAAGCAGCAATAAAATTTTAATACTTTCCAACAGCTAGCCATTAATTTACTTGCATTCACTGATTTTAAAATAAGAACAAACAGATGAGACTAATTAGAGATTTAAATTCTATTCCATATTGTTATTCAGTAATAACATTATGCGACCCATTAATCAACCAAGCTAACTTTCCTCTTCTTTACATAGTTTTATAACTGCATAGCATTTCCACATGCAAGAAGTACAGAAAAGGGGAGAACTAGGGACTGCTTAGAGAAGAATGATGCCAGTCACCAGGACATGCTGGACCCTGACTGTCCATGTGGCAAAATGGTGGTCAGTGGTATCCTGGACTGCACTGGGAATGTGGCCAGCAGGTTGAGGGACCCAATTCTTCCCTTTCTCTTCAGCACCAGTAAAGCCAAGAGGGGAAACCAGACCAAATGCACAAATAAGAGGCATCTTTTCTCTATAATAAAAAGTGATACTGTACATAAACAAAAACTATTTTTCCATTGTAAGTCTGACTTTTACATCTCAACTAAAAGCAGTATTTGTCTCTTGCACTTAGCTGTCACCTAACTATTTTTAAAAAATTGGTAAACTATTGTTCTTCTTTACTTACACAAATATAAAAAAAAGGACTTCCTCCCTCCCTCCCTATTTCCCTTTGAACAGTCAGCTATTCCCGATTAACTTAACAGTACTATGAGCAAACTAGGAGGAGGAAAACTACTGGAAAAGAGTGCCATAATCTGATAGTACTAATGCTATTGAGAAACTCTGTCCTAACAAGCAGTTCTGTAAATAGATTATGATCCATTCACTGCTTAACAGGTGCCAATTCACCTTTTTACATTTATTAATAAACTGATGCTTGCTTGCCTACTATCTTTTGGTTTTTTGGGTTTTTTTCTCCAATGAACTATATTTAAATGCAAGTCAGACTGCCTTTTTAAAGGTGACAGCTCACATATAGCTTGTTTGCGGGAGAAATATCTAGGGACGGCTAAAAGAAATGACTGAATTAAATTAAACAGAAGCTCTGTCATTTACGTTTCAGCTATTTCTTTCCCACATTTCAGGTATTTCTAACCCTTACTGCAAAAAGAAGTGGAATAATCCATTTCATCCACAAAAGTGTGCAAGGCAGCACTTAACTCCTTAAGCTGGATAACAAAGCAACTATGTGATACATGTAGAATAGCATGTACATGTGCAAAACTCTCTTTTTTTCCTTTCTAAGTAGCAGAAACTGATGTAAAATATTTTTATGCCTTTTAAAATTGTAACAACTGCTATGTTGTTACATATCTATGAAATGTATTTAAATAAATTATCAATGGAACTTTTTTGTCTAGGACGTGGTAGAAGAACAGCAACATAAACAGTGATAAATTAACAAACTACTGATCTGTTGACTTACCTTTAATGACAGAGATCCAGCAAGAAAGAAGTGGTCCACATCAATGACAGAGGCAAGGAAGCCAGCCAGGGTGACCTCAGTGAAGTCACTTTTCTTCCTGAGTCCAATCACTATTGCCCAGGACCACATCCCCAGTATACCATGCACTGCATTATCAGATAAGGCTCGGAGCCAGTCATTTTGCTGAATGAAGGAAAACTGCAGGAGTCTGTCTGCTACAAAGCAGAATATCCCCAAACCTAGACTGGAAATAACTGACGCTGTGCTGAAAGTCTGGAGAAGAGCGTGGGCCTTTTCAGTCTCAGATGCCATGACAAGAACCATGCTGCAGCACACAAAAAGTCATCAGGACACACACTGTGCATTGTCCTTTGTATCGTCAGTTGTTCTGTAAATGTCAGAGATCAGAAAGAAAACTATTAAACAAAGAAAATCCATTTGCACAAAACATTTGTCACCACAGCTACAACTGGGCATTAAGATCCCAATTTCACTGTTTTCATTTAACATTCCCAGGGAATTTCTTATTTCAATTAGTTTATTGACTAGAACACTACAGCTTTGAATTAAAAGACCTACCTTTTTTTAATTAGAACCAGCACAAGTGACAAGGAGAGCTCTAATTCCATTTACTGAAATCTTAGATATTACAAAATAACCTGAAACATCTCTGTGATAATACACTGATTATGTTTTAAGACTCCTTCTTATCCTAAAGACGCAATTTAATCCAATGAAATACTTTACACTGTAATAACAGAAGAAGATTCAGTTTGGAAGATTCTTAGGACTGATGCTCAAAATCCCAGCTTTCTCTATAAAACAACTGTTAAAACTGAGTTTTCAATCTATAACCCAAACCACTGCTTTACTTTACATTCTTTGTTAACGTTTGAGGTACTCCCCTAGCACCCTTTAATGAGCAACACCTTGTTCAGTTTGGAGACTGGAACCTAGAATAAACCTTAAGAAAACCAAACACACTAAAATATCTTCATTATTTATAATAAATACAAAGACAACCATTTAGTCAAGCAAAGTAATCAAAACCATCTCCTTACAGAGCAAAAAACTACCTAAGCTTTTCCTCAGCATGTGCTCCAGCAGAGAAACTGGCTGCTAATTTTAGGACTTATCTATTGTCTGCCACCTTACCTTCATAAGTCGTCTTTTTGCAAGAGAAGTTCTAACTGTCCCAGCTGTTATGCTGGTCTTTTTGGGAAGCTATACAGACAGACCACAGTTTTAAAGCCTATATCCTGCCTAAAAATGGATACTTCCCATGAGTTCGTCATTTTTGTGCAATACCTTAAATCTTGGCAACCCTTCTTTGTTAGGTAAATTGTTATTCTGAAGGGCGTTTTTGAGTGTATTAGACTTCCTAAGCTTACACATAACAATTTATGATTTTAAACATACTATAAATCTCACAAGACATAGATGTTTCTTCCAGATTATTTACATGCCTGTTGTAGAATTATCCACAAGACAGAACTACTGGCACTCTCTGCAGAAAAAGCCCACTGAATCATTTATTTAGAAAACATTAAAAAAAGTAAAAGAGAAGAAAGCATGAATAATACATAGACTTTGAACAGAGATAAAAAAGTGGGTCAAGTTTAGAGTCTGTTAACCATGACTGTGCCTCTTCTGAATGAATGTGTAGACACAAAGTATTTTGTGAAACAATGGAAGTGCTGTTTTCTGGTGGGTGACCTTGTGGTACACAGGACATTGCTGAATAAATTCCATGTTAAGGAAAAAAAAAAAGGCAGTCTCTTCACAAATGCTTCTTCTATATGGTCATCATGTCAGATTGGATTTCATTTAAAATTACCATAAAGGCTGTGTAAGAATCCAATCTGTGAAGAGGTGATGTAGCAACATACCTTTAAAAACCACACCAGTAATCAGAATCAAACTGCCCCTGGGACTAGAACATTTTTTTTTCCATCGCAGGTGCCTTACTCCAGTAGGAAATGTCTATGGTCTATGCCTCAGTGCTAATCCTCTGTGCTTTCTGAACCCAGTCTGCCCAGTCCAATGCAGGAAATACCAAACACCACTTGTTCCATCCTAAACAGAAACAAACCAGGCACCAGTAAGCACCGATATCAGGCAAAACAGCATACATGAAATATGAACAACAGTAAAATATCCAGAAAAAATAAACATATATTTAATTAATTTGTGCACGAATATAATTGAGGTAAAAGTAACTTCAGCTAAGCTTTGAAGCTCTGTAAAAGAAAGCAGAAAAAAACCCGTAAACCAAGAGAAGAGCAGAAATAAAAAAGGAACACACTAGTAACTAACAAATATTCAAACACCAAGTCCAAAAACAACTGTTCCAGTCTTCTACATAACTGCATTTCAACGGATAGAGCAATACATTTTCACAGATTTTTTTTCTTGTGCCTGGAAGATTCCCACCTAATGAAACATTTATGAATCCCATTCAGGGATCTCTTTTTAAATTCCACCACATCACTTAGTGACCTTGGAAGAGATAAAGAGAGATCCAGAAATTCATTTAGCAACAGAAGTCTGTGTCAGTTCTGTGTTAGGCTTACACTTGTGCTATGGCTGGTATTAGCACGTGTTCCTTGAGCCAGAATGAAGAACAGGATGCAAAACTGGCTTCAGGTTGACCATAGGCAAGAGCCATGTCCAACTGCTCTTTTTAAACCATCTATTTCAGCCTCCTTTAGAGACAAAAATGAGTGCTGCCTATGTAAAAATCAGACCAGAAAAAGCAAAACTCCGGTCAACCAAAATAATATCTGAAATTATAAATTTTAATGTAAAACTAGAACATTTTTTTTTCTCCCTGAAAAATGACGCTTTTCAGGCTCCCTACAAAATATCACAATAAAACGTAATTTTTCCAGCCTATCAATCTCAGAAAGCAGTTGTGTAGCTTGCATTTTTGCTAAAACAGAAAAGTGCGGAATAATTCACAAAAAAATGCTTATGGACATCTATGTGGTCAGTACAGTTAATATCCAGAAAGGAAGTTCTAGTTTGGTTGAGCATAATCTCTGTCTGTAGTCTCAAAATGGAATTTTGTAGATATACTTTAATTTAAGGAAATTACCAAAATAATTTTTATGAACACACAGTTAACACTTTAAGTTACTGTCACAAGAAGATATTTAGATCAAAACTGTAAATACACTTTTGGGAAAACAGCTAAGAAGGAAACGGTGTACAAGCAAAACAAAAACCAAGTGGCTAAAATTACCACTTAGAAATATTGTTCTGCATAATTTTTGCCCCAGTTTTGCACTGATACATGAATACATATAGGAATTTAATGCATGAAGTTACGGAATCACAGAATCAATCAGGCTGGGCAAGACATCTGAGATCATCAAGTCCAACCTACAACCAAACACCCTGCCAACTAACAGAATTATGCATTCTACACAAGAAGCTAAAATCCCTTACAATTGTATAATCTCCTAAACCCCTTGTTATTTGATGCTGGATATTATTTTATATTAAAAACTGCATTAAGCAGAATTAAGACACCAGCTCAAACCTTTAGCATACAATCTTGTGGAAAAGGAGATCCCAGCCTAAGACTTATCTGAGAAGAAATGACAGTGGCAGTATTTTTGGGTCAGATAATTATAACACATTATTGTACTGATCATGCAAATATTTTTGGGCCAGATAATTACAACGCATCATTGTGCTGATCTAGCAAATATTTTTGGGCCAGATATAATTATAACGCATTTTTGGGTTTGGAGAGGGCAAAAGCCCAGAAGGAAGCGGGAGGATTTTACCAAGACTCTGAAGAACAAACTAAATTAAACCGAGCAGGAAATCAACCTGGAAACCCGAGATGAGCAGGAGCGTGAGGGGAGGCGCGGGCCTCGGAGCCGCCGCCCGCCCCGCCCCGCCCGGCCCGGAGCCCACCTGGAGCGCGGCCGCCGCCATCCACCCTTCACCCCATGGGGCTGGGCCGCCCCCATCCCGGCCGGAGCGGGCTGCGGAGCCCGGGGACAGGGAGCTGGAAAGAGCCCCGGGGAGCCGGTCAGGAAGCATGCGTGGCCGCGGAGCAGGCTGGGACCCGGACCCGCCTCGTCTCCTCCCATCCCCGCCCGGCGCGGCCAGCGGGGCTCGGTTGTGAGGGAGAAGCGTTTCCTGCATTATTAAATGGAGGGTTTGGGTGTTCGGGCTTTGGCTCCTTCAAGTGCCGAGAGGGAAATCGATGATCAGAGTTTAGTGTTTTGTCATTAAGGACATGGTGCGCCTCTGACAGACCACAGAGCAAATTAATACTTACTGTTCTCAAAGTAATACTCAAAGAGAGCAAATATTTTATTCGGAAACATTTTATTCGGTATTAAGACTTCTTGGTGTAAGCATCTGAATAAAAGCACGTTTTTACAGAGAAAACTTCCTGTGTCTACCCTGGTCATTTCAGCAGCGATTCATCAATCAAGTTGATCTGAACATATATTCAAACATTAAAAGCAGCACTGTCAGGTCAGGCCTGATCTATTTATACAGCAGTGCTCCATTATCTCAACTGTTCTCTTTGCCTATACCAAATATAGCACCGGTGTTATTATTGATATTACACTGGCACCTGACAGACTTCACTGGCAACCTCTCCCTCTGGCTTCAGCCTTCATTCCCCTCGCCCTGCAGAGCCTCCTGAGACACAGCTGGGAGCATTCCTCTCTCCCTGCAGAGCCTCCTGAGACACAGCTGGGACAGCTCCTGTGAGGACACGGAACACAGGGCTTCACCTCCCAGAAGCCGCAAGCAGAGATTCAATATCTTGAATGACTTTAGAAGTTTTTTCCAAAGCCTCCAAGACACAACCTTCACTGAGTTCTTCTGTCTCATCCCTGTTTTCTTCTTTTCTGACAGTGATACCAGATGTATTGGATTTTGTGGCAGATGACCTTGTCAGAATGTTGCTATTGTCTAATAAAACTAGTGTTACTTTGTTAAGAGAAAAATTTCTGACTCTTCCTCCTAAAGAGAAAAAAATCTCTGCATTTGTATTCATCATTCTGCCTTGCAAAGTCTCACATTTGGTAGCATGGTAATGACATACAGGTAAAAAAAGACTGTATTACTTAAAACGTCTACAACATTTATAGAAAAATCTAGAAGTCTTTTAGACTTTAATTTATCCAAAACTTGGAAAAGAAAAAGGGTCTTACACAGAAACAAACCAGGCACCAGTAAGCACCGATATCAGGCAAAACAGCATACATGAAATATGAACAACAGTAAAATATCCAGAAAAAATAAACATATATTTAATTAATTTGTGCACGAATATAATTGAGGTAAAAGTAACTTCAGCTAAGCTTTGAAGCTCTGTAAAAGAAAGCAGAAAAAAACCCGTAAACCAAGAGAAGAGCAGAAATAAAAAAGGAACACACTAGTAACTAACAAATATTCAAACACCAAGTCCAAAAACAACTGTTCCAGTCTTCTACATAACTGCATTTCAACGGATAGAGCAATACATTTTCACAGATTTTTTTTCTTGTGCCTGGAAGATTCCCACCTAATGAAACATTTATGAATCCCATTCAGGGATCTCTTTTTAAATTCCACCACATCACTTAGTGACCTTGGAAGAGATAAAGAGAGATCCAGAAATTCATTTAGCAACAGAAGTCTGTGTCAGTTCTGTGTTAGGCTTACACTTGTGCTATGGCTGGTATTAGCACGTGTTCCTTGAGCCAGAATGAAGAACAGGATGCAAAACTGGCTTCAGGTTGACCATAGGCAAGAGCCATGTCCAACTGCTCTTTTTAAACCATCTATTTCAGCCTCCTTTAGAGACAAAAATGAGTGCTGCCTATGTAAAAATCAGACCAGAAAAAGCAAAACTCCGGTCAACCAAAATAATATCTGAAATTATAAATTTTAATGTAAAACTAGAACATTTTTTTTTCTCCCTGAAAAATGACGCTTTTCAGGCTCCCTACAAAATATCACAATAAAACGTAATTTTTCCAGCCTATCAATCTCAGAAAGCAGTTGTGTAGCTTGCATTTTTGCTAAAACAGAAAAGTGCGGAATAATTCACAAAAAAATGCTTATGGACATCTATGTGGTCAGTACAGTTAATATCCAGAAAGGAAGTTCTAGTTTGGTTGAGCATAATCTCTGTCTGTAGTCTCAAAATGGAATTTTGTAGATATACTTTAATTTAAGGAAATTACCAAAATAATTTTTATGAACACACAGTTAACACTTTAAGTTACTGTCACAAGAAGATATTTAGATCAAAACTGTAAATACACTTTTGGGAAAACAGCTAAGAAGGAAACGGTGTACAAGCAAAACAAAAACCAAGTGGCTAAAATTACCACTTAGAAATATTGTTCTGCATAATTTTTGCCCCAGTTTTGCACTGATACATGAATACATATAGGAATTTAATGCATGAAGTTACGGAATCACAGAATCAATCAGGCTGGGCAAGACATCTGAGATCATCAAGTCCAACCTACAACCAAACACCCTGCCAACTAACAGAATTATGCATTCTACACAAGAAGCTAAAATCCCTTACAATTGTATAATCTCCTAAACCCCTTGTTATTTGATGCTGGATATTATTTTATATTAAAAACTGCATTAAGCAGAATTAAGACACCAGCTCAAACCTTTAGCATACAATCTTGTGGAAAAGGAGATCCCAGCCTAAGACTTATCTGAGAAGAAATGACAGTGGCAGTATTTTTGGGTCAGATAATTATAACACATTATTGTACTGATCATGCAAATATTTTTGGGCCAGATAATTACAACGCATCATTGTGCTGATCTAGCAAATATTTTTGGGCCAGATATAATTATAACGCATTTTTGGGTTTGGAGAGGGCAAAAGCCCAGAAGGAAGCGGGAGGATTTTACCAAGACGCTGAAGAACAAACTAAATTAAACCGAGCAGGAAATCAACCTGGAAACCCGAGATGAGCAGGAGCGTGAGGGGAGGCGCGGGCCTCGGAGCCGCCGCCCGCCCCGCCCCGCCCGGCCCGGAGCCCACCTGGAGCGCGGCCGCCGCCATCCACCCTTCACCCCATGGGGCTGGGCCGCCCCCATCCCGGCCGGAGCGGGCTGCGGAGCCCGGGGACAGGGAGCTGGAAAGAGCCCCGGGGAGCCGGTCAGGAAGCATGCGTGGCCGCGGAGCAGGCTGGGACCCGGACCCGCCTCGTCTCCTCCCATCCCCGCCCGGCGCGGCCAGCGGGGCTCGGTTGTGAGGGAGAAGCGTTTCCTGCATTATTAAATGGAGGGTTTGGGTGTTCGGGCTTTGGCTCCTTCAAGTGCCGAGAGGGAAATCGATGATCAGAGTTTAGTGTTTTGTCATTAAGGACATGGTGCGCCTCTGACAGACCACAGAGCAAATTAATACTTACTGTTCTCAAAGTAATACTCAAAGAGAGCAAATATTTTATTCGGAAACATTTTATTCGGTATTAAGACTTCTTGGTGTAAGCATCTGAATAAAAGCACGTTTTTACAGAGAAAACTTCCTGTGTCTACCCTGGTCATTTCAGCAGCGATTCATCAATCAAGTTGATCTGAACATATATTCAAACATTAAAAGCAGCACTGTCAGGTCAGGCCTGATCTATTTATACAGCAGTGCTCCATTATCTCAACTGTTCTCTTTGCCTATACCAAATATAGCACCGGTGTTATTATTGATATTACACTGGCACCTGACAGACTTCACTGGCAACCTCTCCCTCTGGCTTCAGCCTTCATTCCCCTCGCCCTGCAGAGCCTCCTGAGACACAGCTGGGAGCATTCCTCTCTCCCTGCAGAGCCTCCTGAGACACAGCTGGGACAGCTCCTGTGAGGACACGGAACACAGGGCTTCACCTCCCAGAAGCCGCAAGCAGAGATTCAATATCTTGAATGACTTTAGAAGTTTTTTCCAAAGCCTCCAAGACACAACCTTCACTGAGTTCTTCTGTCTCATCCCTGTTTTCTTCTTTTCTGACAGTGATACCAGATGTATTGGATTTTGTGGCAGATGACCTTGTCAGAATGTTGCTATTGTCTAATAAAACTAGTGTTACTTTGTTAAGAGAAAAATTTCTGACTCTTCCTCCTAAAGAGAAAAAAATCTCTGCATTTGTATTCATCATTCTGCCTTGCAAAGTCTCACATTTGGTAGCATGGTAATGACATACAGGTAAAAAAAGACTGTATTACTTAAAACGTCTACAACATTTATAGAAAAATCTAGAAGTCTTTTAGACTTCAATTTATCCAAAACTTGGAAAAGAAAAAGGGTGTTACAGTTCAGTTTAACAGCATGCACTTTTCATACTAATAGAATTGAACACTGGCTTAAAGACAGTTTTAGAGTGGCTTTAAGCAGATTCAGCACAGTGCACATTTCCAGCTGGCTGAACACAACAGAACAATACTGAGGTAGCTGATAAACAGAAAGATACTGTACTGCAACAAGCCCAAAGGCAACTGCGTTGTTCGTCTTTCAAGAACAGATCAGCAGATGACTCTCAGCAAAACTGATGCAATTAGTTTTGCATTAGTTAATACATCAAATTAATACACATTAAAGGGCTTTGTTTTCTGGTGACTTTTCATTTTAGTTTTGTACTTCAACTTTTTTTTTTTTTAATATTTACCACAAAATAAGTGATAAAACAAAAAAGATAAGTAAGAAAATGAGATTGTTTTAAGAAGTGAGACAGTAAAAGAGAGTCTTTGATGATCTAAAGTGCAGACTTGAACATGCAGATAAACACCAGAATATAAAAGGAAAAAAAAAAATCTTTACAGCTTTTAAAAGGATACAATTAAATCTCTGTATTTTTTCAAGCTCAGCATCAGCAGACCTGTCCAAAAAAATAAAGGTTATTTCTCAAGGATATTTTCTACTTCAGATTTTATTTTTTAATAATTTCCAATACTGAGAATTAGATTAGCAAAATCTGTGTCTTTGAGACCACTATTCAATGGCTATCATTTGTCAATCATGTGTGTTTCCAAAAATTTGGTCTCTGCTCTAAGAATAGTCTCTTTGCTGTAAGTAT